TGCTGCCTAGAGCTGGTACCGAATCTCCGCAAAACCTCCAATTACTCTGGAGGAGCCATCGCTGCTGATTTTTGTCAAAATCTCCATGTCTCAAGAAGGTGAGACCTCGTTACTGTTTCCAGACGCCCACACGGAAGTCAAGGCTGGTTCGCAACGGATTGGAGGTTGGGACGTGGCAGCCTGCACCTCGAATTGGAGAGCAAGACTTTCAGAGAAACAAAACATAATCAAGTCCCCTGCACACACTCAGCTAAGCGCTCCGCACACAAGTATACATGAGTTCGCACGCCGCCCAGGCAGGCGCTGGATGAAGAGAACAGAGACCAAAAAAAGATGCACTCATCCTGGGGAGGATGGTTTGAGTTTCAGCTGTATTTGCTGAAAGCCCATCATGCACCAGAAGTCAGAGACACAAAGAGACATCCTGACACAGAGGCCGTCTGGCTGGATACTTTGGTGACACACAGGACCGGCCAGGTCATATGCGGGGCCGGGTGCAAAATGAAAAGGCAGGAGGGAGACCTTGGTCAAAAAATATTAAGAATTTCAAGAGCATGACACAAAGTTTGGGGTCCTTCTGAGCGTAGCATCAGCTGCAACTGCTCAGGTCCCACATCTGTGAAGCCAGCCTGGGTTGCATGTGGCAGAAAAGAGGGAAGGGGAGGGGAGCAGAGGGGAAGGAGAGGGGGAAAGAAGAGGGGAGAGGAAAAGGACAGGGCAGGGGAAAAGGGGAGGGGTGGGAAATGAAAGGGAGAAGGGAAGGGAGAAAGAAAGGGAAGGAGGAAAGGAGGAAGGGAAAAAAGGAAGAGAGAAAGGAGGGAGGGAGGGAGAGGGAGGGAGGGAGAGGGAGGGAAGGAGAGGAGAGAGGATGGAAAGAAGGAGTGAAAGAGTTAAAGAGCAAGGAGGCATCAAGAAAGAGAGAAAGGAAAGGAAAAGGAAAAGAGAAATGTATGGATCATATAACTAGCCATCTAAGAACTGCTTCCATCTGACTGGACACAGAGATTCAAATTATCGTCAAAGCTAAGGTTTACTGATCCTCCCTAGGTGTCAGCCACTGTCCTAAGGGATTTACATGTATTGACTCATTTACTTATCATCACGAGCCCCTGACCTAGCTACTTCTATATCCCCATTTTTAAGATGAGGAAACTGAGGCACAGAAAGTTTAGGCAGCTTGGCAAGATTCCAGATTCAGTATCAATCTGGCATCTTGGCAAGCTGCCTAACCTTGCCAGGATTCAAACCCAGGCACTGACTCCCAGCTCACACAAGAGGTGTCAAATAAAAACCATGGACACAGTCCATAGCCTCAGCACGTGCAGGCTTCCAGGAAAGCAGGCACTTTGGTAGACACATCCAGCACCCGCTGTCTGCAAAGGCAGAAGGGTTGAAGGGAGAGCTTCCCATTGGTTTAGGGTGTATTTATTAAGGGTGGCCCATGCTAGACACCCTCCCCCATCCTGTGTCCTTTCATAACTCCTCAACAGCACAGAAAACAACAGGATGGGGAGGCGGCCGTGGTATACAGAGTCCACGGTGCCAACTTGGAATCCACACCTGAATCCTGACAGATTTCTGCAAGATGAAACCTGAAGGAGCAGCTAGCTCTCAGGGAAAGTGCATTTTAGACACTTCTTGGTGGCTGTCCCTGAGTAGAACACAACCATCCAGATACATTAGCTATGCCATCTATCAGCCCAGCAGGCTGCAGAAGCAGAGGCCAACCTCCTCAGAGGCAGTGGCGCTCAGCCTGGGTCTCTCCAGAGGATGCTGGGACATCTACCCAAGGGTCCCCAGAGGGCCACCCAGGAGCAGATCTATAACAGAGCTTTTCATTCTTAATGTGAATTTCTTGCTAACCTTCAGAAATAGGGAGTTCAAACCCAGTCATCTTGAAGAAATGGCTGATCCCATGTCCAGAGCAAGACATGTACCAGATGAATCTGGAGGATCTTGTGCCAGGAAGTAGGAAAACACTCCTACTGATGGGGACACATCAGAAGGACAAGCGAGGCAGCTGGAAGGAGCACCTGCTGGGCAACGATGTGATGAGTTACAGCATCCAAACCACTAATGACTCAATGGGTTGAAACACATCAAATATACTAAATTCATGAGCTCACGGTGATATTAACAAACCAGCATATGGAGAGTCTGTCAGGCTGGATTTCTGGCTTCTCTTGAAAAACTGGAAAATCTGACAGCATTAGACCTATATCCTCATATGATGACATAGGAGCTGGGAGCAGCTGTCCCCTGTAGGCAGAGCACAGGCTCTCCTCTTTAGCACAGTCTCCACCACTCCCTTTTACTGCCCTGGAGAGAGAGTGCTCATTGTTTGTATGTGAGCACCTGCTTCACTCCTTTACACCATGTACCTGCTACTTCAGTCTAGAATGTTCTTCTGATCTGGAACATCCCTCACCTAGCAGTTCCTGGAGATCAGATCTGTCCTAGCTTCTGTAGGCTGTTTCCAAAAGGCCCATGATCAGAAGGAACAATCATGCTACTGAAAAAAGATGGGCCACATTCCCCCCCAAACCTCCCTGCCTCCTCCACACATCCTCTGGCCTGCCCCCTCTCTGCCCTGTTTGGTTGGGGTTCTGTGCAGAGGGACAGTGGACTATGATTGACATTTTCAAAGGCTCATTCCGGCTTCTCAATGAGAATAGACTAGAAAGAGATGAGCATGAGAAAAGCAAGATGCTAGAAGGAGCTACAGCAGATTCCAGGCAGGAAACGATGGGGCCTGGATAGGGGTGGAAGAGAGAAGATGGGCCAGAGCCCTGGGTATTCAAAGCTAGAAGTGGCGACTCACTGACAGATAGAATGTGGAATGTGAAATAAAGAGAGAAGCCAGGATGATGCCAGGATTTTCAACCTGAGCAAACTGGAAGGATGGAATTGCCGTCAGCTGCCACGTGTGTTCTGGGAAAGTATGACGTTCGTGTCTATTTAAATTAATTGAAATCCCAATTAACTTTGATTTTAAATCACCAATCCCAAGCAGCAGTTGCCTGCCTCCCCTCATAACCCAGAATCAAAACGGCACCACTCTTGTAACCGTGACCCCGTTTCTCTATGACTAACAAACAGGGATGCCAAACGGGTTGAGTGCCAGCCAGCCAGGAGCATCCATAAGAAAGAATCTCCCTTTAAAGGGCCACTACTGCAGGATTCTTCTGCAAACCCCAGTACACACTCACCTTCTGTCATGCTCAATTATGTCTAAGATGTGAACAGTGTCTCAGCCCATCTTCCCAAAATAGCCCAGAGGAGCAAGCAAGAAATATTCCACCCCTAAAGGTCTTTCGTTGAAAAGTTGGGAAGCTCTGGGAACAGGTGCATATAATTGAACAGCCCTGGATACCAGTACTCGGTGATGCGACACTGTGTTTCATTTTATAATTGCTCAGCCTGTGCCTTGAGTCAAGGAGACATCCTAAGACGTTTCTCACATCAACACACCCATTAGCAGATGAAAGCGAGGTGCCCTTCCAAAGCCTCTAAATGTACTGTGCCTCTCATTGTTCAGTAAGACCCAGAACCACGGTGGGAGTGTTGTGGGGGGAGGTCAAAGTGTTTCTCTGCATGGCTGGCTACCGTCGTCGTGGTAACCACAGGCCTAACAGAGGAAGCGGCCACTGAGAGACAGCCCCATGGTGGACCCGTGGCTGGGAGCTTTCGGAGTAGAGAAGTCTTACCTCCCTGGGGTAGGGGTGGTTATGTAGACTTGAACAGGGGAGTCTAACTTACGTGCCTAGATTCAAACCCAAGTTTCCCCGCTTATTAACTGTATGAACCTGGAGCTTACTCAAAGGCTCTACATCCTCAGCTTCCTCATCTGTAGAATGGGAGGGACCATGGGTGTACTGGGGAGTTAAGGAGACAAAGCAATGTGCTAGCACCCAGGAGCCCTCAGCAATCCTGCTACAATCCCCAGTCACCATCCACACCACCACCTCTGTCCAGTCGCCCACAAGCCACGCCAGGGTCCACTAGGAGATCTGGCTGGACACGTGTGCAGGAAGAGCTGCTTTGCACAGCTTGTGGTGGGTGGTGTCTTCCAAAGAGGGTCACACCAGTAGATCCAACTCACATTACATTCCTTCCTGCAGAGATGGGCCAATGTCCCTTCCCTTTGAGTCTGGGTGGGCCTGGAACTCCAGCGGAAGGGACTCCATGCGCCTTGCGAGGCAGTCATAAAAGGCAATGCAGCTCCTGCCTGGTCCTCTCATGATGCTCACCCTTGCAGCCAGCTGCCATATTGCACGGAAGCCAAGCAGCCATAGGAAGGGGCTCCTGGAGGTGTTCCAGCCACAGCCCAGCTGTGATCCCAGCAGACAGCAGCTTCGACCCCCAGACATTCGGCTGAGCCCTGAGATGACTCCCTCAAGCTGCCTAAGAGGACAACAGCAAGTGGAGCAAAGACAACTGCTCCTGCCACACCCTGTTCCAATTCTAAACTAATGAGCAAAATAAATGGCATTGTTCTTTTAAGTCGCCATGTCTTGGGTACTTTGTTATATGGCAGTTGATCATTTTAATCTTGAACCTCATTCAAACTCCTCACTATAAAATACTTGAGGGATCGGCCAGAGGACAGATTTTGCCAAGGAAGCACATCTCTGTGAGCTCTTCAGCGATGAACGCTGGAGGGGAAGCAGAGGTGCTGGTTTCTGCCTGTTGTATTGAGAATGGAAACTCCAAGAGGACAAAGACCATGTCTGAGTTTTCCCTGCCTAGGGCAGAGCCTGTCATATAGTAGGTGCTCAGAAAATGTCGGTCAAATGAATGAGAACATCAGATACACAAGGAACAAAATAATTAAGATTCTAAACTGTGGGAGTGAATGTTTCCACCTGATGTGCACTAGTAGTAACCACAAAAACCAAACTAATAAAAGCACGCTGAAAATATCTAACCTTACTATCCCTAAAAGAACAAACGCCTGGCAGGTGGAGGAAGGCAGACAAAGTGATATTTTTCTTTTCAAGGCTGCTTCTGAGTCTATGAAAAGATAAAGAGCACCTTATTCCAAATAGCATATAAAACTGAAGCATTATAAAAATACATAAGAAAGAATTTGAATATCTCCTGACCATGATACTCAGCTGATGATTAGTCATAATAACAGAGAAGTATAATCAATCAGTTTAAAAGCCCATCAAGTGGAGAAGAGCTAAATAAATCATGGCACAATGGAATATCACGCAGCAGGTAAAAAGATAGAAGTATAAATACGCTAAAATGGTTAGGTCTACAAAATATATTGTTGACTGAAAAAAAGCAAGTTGCAGACTATGTCGATATAACATTTAAATGAAAAAATTAAATGCACAAGAATAATATATTGTTCCTGGTTCCACATATAAGGAAAAATAGAAAAACCTTAAATTCATGATCGTATTTGCCTCTGGGGAGAGGGAATGGAATTGAGGATAGTGCAAAAGAGAACTTCAATATTTTCTGTAATGTTTTCATCGTCACACAGATAAACAGTAATAATAATAATAGCAAACCTCTATATCGCTTTTCTGATTTGCCAGACACTGTTCTAAATGCTTTTCATGCATTCATTCATTCATTCATTCAATCCAACAACGGTCCTAAGAGGTCAGGTACTATTATTATTCCTATTTTACCGGAAGGATCCCAAAGTAGAGAAAGGTAAAGAAAATCACCTAAATCAAAAAGAATCACAACCATACAGACTAAAACACATTAGTCATATCTAAACCCATGGGTTTGTTGTGATATACTGCACAAAACCTTCCTGAGTGTCTACACCATTCATTCACTTGTTCAAAAATGAGCCCTCTCTCTGCACCGGACAGAATCCCTGTCTTGTGGAGCTGACAGATTTAGTGGGGAAAAGAAAGACCACCAATAAAATACATAAATTAAAATGCAAAGGATGCTAGATAGTTGCAACTGACATGGAGAAAAATGAAGAAGGGAAGAAGGATAAGCAACATTGGAGTGGACTACAGTGGCTGCAGTGTTAGGTAGTGAGGCCAAGGACCTCCTCTGGCCAAGGGTTGCCGTCGTAAAGGTCTAAGGAGGTAGGAGCACAGAAAGGGAAGGGAGGAGGTTCCAAGAAGAGGAAACAGGTGCAAAGTCACTGAGGCAGGAGCACGCTCAGGGTGTTCCAAAGAAGCAGGAGGCCAGTGTGGCCAGATTCCGGCAAGTAAACAGACAGGAAGTCATAGAGGTCACAGAATGGTCAATTATTTAGAGCATTCTGATCCACTTTAAGGACACTGGTTTTTAGTTGGAATGAGATGGACACCAGTGGGGCATTTTGAGCAGAGGAGGAACATGGTGCAATTGACACACAGCAAAGCAGCCTTGGTTGTTGTGGGAAGAAAGGATTGAGAAGGGGCAAAGGAGGGGGTACTGCAATGGTCCAGGCAAGCAACAATAATGGCTGGGACCAGTGAAGGGAAGGAGTCCATTTCTGGATATATTTGGAAGACAGAGCCACAAGATTTGCTGATGGCTTAGAAGGAACTGAAGGAGAAGAATCAAGAATGCTCTAGGTTTTTAGCCTGAGCAGCTGGAAGGATGGAATTGCCATCAGAAGTAGCAAAGGCTGTGGGAGGGCAAAGGTGGGAAGTATGGTTCTGGGCCAGGTAAGTATGAGATGCCAATGAAACATCCAGGTAGAGATGTCATATAGATAGCCACAGAGAGACGTTTGGAGCCCAGGCGAGAAGTCCTGGCTGGAGACAAAGTGAATTAGCTTCATCTGCCATCTGCTAAAACCTGAGGCTCCAAGAGCTAAATGTGGCCGGCAGGTGTGTTGTGTTAAGCCTGCATAATATTTTTTCATTTAGATTTATTTCCCACATTTTTCATAAGAGTCCAGATTTCTAGCATTGGCTGGAAAATTGGAAGATCTGCCAACTTTAGACTCCAATTCCTGCTTGGAGGTGGGCAGTGTCCACCTCCTTGGACCAGGCAGCCAACCAAAACGCCCAGTTGGCCAGCTAAGCTTATCACCTTACCTCCCTGGCCCCCTGGGGTCTATCAGTAACTCCGCTTAGACAACTGCTATTCCACTTAGACAAAGCTAGTGAAGCCTGGAACTTCTGACTTTTTCTCCTTCTCCCAAAAAGCTCATTACAAGGATCTCTCGGACAAAACAACCTAGCATGATCTCTAACTTCACTGGAGTACAGAGTTGCTAAACACACCCAGCAATAGAGAAAGATGGAAACTCAATCTCAGCCAGGTGGGAAGCCATATGAACAGTCCACCTGGCTCTCATTTCCCTAAATCATGATTGCCTGTCTTTTAAACTTAGATATCCTCAAAAAAACAACACTAATAAATCACAGCAAAGTGTTAGGAGGTTTTCTTTGCCATCCACAAAGCATATATTTCCATTACCTGTCCCAGATTGGCCAAATGAAGACCAATGTATCTATAAAATGCAATGACATGTTAATGCAAACCTTAGAAAAGATAAAATGCTTTTTATCTCCATCTTAGGAAAACCTAATAAAGAATTAACTGTCCGCGACGCCATAGAATTTCACTTGAGGCTTTACTTTATGTCAGGACTTCTTAGATCATTAACTTTTAACAGACAGGCTTCCCCCCATACCCCAGGCTGTGGACATGTGGCTGCCACCTCACACTACACTAAGAAGCCATTAAAATTAGACTCCTGCTTCCCATCAGAACTTTAGTTACAAGCTCCAGCTGATGCCTCCTCACGACAGTGAATCTCAGCATGAATCTTGTATGTCAAAGTTTGCAGCTCAAAGGTCTCGGCAGTATTTACTTGCATAGGTCCTTTATTGCTGAATGAGAGCTCCTGAATCTAAACTGTTGCCCATGTCTGACCACCATAATGGGCAGCTCCTGGAAGAAGTTGGAGGACGGGTTGAAAAGTAGGCAACTGATATTTGTAAAGCTTCAGAAGTGTACCAACGTATTCAGAGTAGCTGGGCAGTTCTCCAACCCATGACAAAGAGTGTCCAATCTCCCCTGGGAGAGTTAAAAAGTAACAAGTCTAATGTCCTGAAACAGCAAAGCAAATGTCTTATTTCCAACAAGACCATAGCTCCAACTATGACTTCCCAACACTCAGGAAAAAGCTCACCAGTGCTGTACTAAGATCATGTCAATAGGTGCACTATGAATGTGGGGCAGCATCAAAGAAAATATTTTTTTTTAGAAATGGGGTCTCACTATGTTGCCAAGGCTGGAGTGCAGTGACTATTTACAGGCACAGAGATGGTGCACTACAGCCTTGAATGCTGTGCCTCAAGAGATTCTCCCTCCTCAGCCCCCCAAGTAGTTGGGATTACAGGCAAGCAGCAAAATACCTTGCTAAAGAAGAAAATGTTTAAACACTAGTTCCTGGAAAACTGGATATCCACATGCAAAAGAATGAAGCTGGACCTTTATACCTTATATCATATGCAAAAACTAACTCAAGATGTATTAGAGACTTAACTAAAAGGGCTAAAACTATAAATTCTTAGAAGAAAACCTAAGGGCAAATCTTCATGATCTTTCAAGGGTGTTATATTTAAGAAATCATTGCAAAATCCATGAAGGGCAAATCTTCATGGATTTTGCAATGATCTCATAAATATAACAAAAAAAATACAGGAAATAAATAAATTGGACTTCTTAAAAATAAAACTTTGGTGCATTAAAGCAGGGATCCCCAAACCCTGGGCTGTGGACCAGTACCAGTCCATGACCTGTTAAGAACCAGGCCACAAAGCAGGAGGTGAGCCCGGCGGGTGGCTAATAAAGCTCCATCTGTATTTACAGCCGATCCTCACCGCTCACATTACCGCCTGAGCTCCACCTCCTGGCAGGTCAGCAGTGGCATGAGATTCTCATAGGAGCAGGAACTCTACTGTGAACTGCACATGCAAGGGAGCTAGGTTGTATGCTCCTTATGATAATCTAACTAATGCCTGATGTGAGGTGGAACAGTTTTATCCCAAAACAATCCCCCATCACCATTTGTGGAAAAATTATCTTCCATGAAACCAGTCCCTGGTGCCAAAAATATTGGGGACCACCACATAAAAGGACATTATACTAAGAGAGCAAAAAGACAGCTCATAAATGGGAGAGAATATCTGCCAATTCATATGTGATAAGGGGTTGCTATCCAGAGGATAGAAACTTATACAACTTAGCAACAAAAGGACAAATAACCCAATTAAAAAATGAGCAAGAGACTTGAATAGACACTTCTCCACGGAAGTTATACAAATGGCAAATAAGCACATAAAAGATACTCAACGTCATCAGTCATCAGGGAAACGAAAATCAAAACCACAATGAGATACCACTTTATACTCACTAGAATAGCTACAATTTTTTAAAGGGGAAATAATAAGTCTGGGAAAATACGTGGAGAAATTGGAACCCTTGCAGATTGCTGGCGAAAATATAAAATGGTGCAGCTGCTGTAGGAAACAGTTTGGCAGCTGATCAAAAAGTTAAGCATAGGTGGCCGGGCGCGGTGGCTCACGCCTGTAATCCCAGCACTTTGGGAGGCCGAGGCGGGTGGATCACGAGGTCAAGAGATCGAGACCATCCTGGTCAACATGGTGAAACTCCGTCTCTACTAAAAATACAAAAAAAAAAAAAATTAGCTGGGCATGGTGGCGCGTGCCTGTAATCCCAGCGACTCAGGAGGCTGGGGCAGGAGAATTGCCTGAACCCGGGAGGCGGAGGTTGCGGTGAGCCGAGATCGCGCCATTGCACTCCAGCCTGGGTAACAAGAGCGAAACTCCATCTCAAAAAAAAAAAAAAAGTTAAGCATAGAATTACCGTATAATCCAGCAATTCCACTCAAAGCTATAGACCCTAAAGATTTGAAAATAGATACTTGGCCATGAATGTTCACAACAGCATCACTCATAATATCCAAAAAGTGGAAACAGCCCAAATGTCCATCAACAGATGAAAGAATAAACAAATGCGATCTATCCACACAATGGAATATTATTCAGCTGTAAAAAGGAATGAAGCTCTGATAGGTGCTGTAACATGCACGAGCCTGGAAAACATTATGATAAATACAGAAAGGCAGACACAGAAGGACAAATACTGTGTGACTCCACTTACATATGAAATATCTAGAATAGGCAAAGTTATAGAGACAAAAAGCAGATTCGAGGTTAGCAGAGGCTGGGAGGAGGGGAGAAATGAGGAGTTTTTGTTTAACAGATACAGAACTTTCTTTTTTTTTTGGATACAGAGTCTCGCTCTGTCCCCAGGCTGGAGTGCAGTGGTGCGATCTCAGCTCAATACAACCTCTGCCTCCTGGATTTAAGCAATTCCTCCCGCCTCAGCCTCCTAACTGAGATTACAGGCACCCACCACCATGCCTGGCTAATTTTTGTGTTTTTAGTAGAGATAGGGTTTCACCATGTTGGCCAGGCTGGTCTTCAACTCCTAACCTCAAGTGATCTGTCTGCCTTGGCCTCCCAAAGTGCTGGAATTACAGGCGTGAGCCACCGCACCCAGCCTGCTTAATGGATATAGAATTTCTATTTCAGATGATTAAAAATTTGGGAAGTAGACAGAGGTGATTGTTGCATGACATGGTGAATGCAGTTAATGCTACTGAATTATACTTAAAAATTCTTAAAGTGGCACGTTTCATATATATATAACCAAGAAATTTAAAAAGAGGGGAGAAAAACATCTTTGCCCTCTTTGCAAGCACTGAAAATCCAGAGTCCCATCCAAGACTTCACATTCGAGCAGGTCTGGGTTCAAATCCAGCTCTACCAGTTGTAGACTGTGTCTCTATACTGACTATCCCTTTCCACAATAGTGCTGTATAACGAACAACCCCAAAACTCAGTGGCTTAGAGTAATAAACATTTGTGTAACGCATCCATCTGCAGGTTGATGATTTCACTCGCGCTCGCTGGACAGTCCTTTTAGTGTCAGCCAGGCTCCTTTTTTTTTTTTTTTTTTGAGACAGGATCTCACTGTCACCCAGGCTGGAGTACAGTGGCATGACCTCAGCTCACTGCAGCCTCCACCTCATGGGATCAGGTGACCCTCCCACCACAGCCTCCCTAGTAGCTGGAACCACAGGAGAGCTCCACCATGCCTGGCTAATTTTTATTTTTTACATTTTAGGGAGACAAGGTCTCACTGTTACCCAGGCTGGTCTCAAACTCCTGGGCGCAAGTGACTTGCCAATCTCAGCCTTCCAAAGTGCTGGAATTACAGGCATGAGCCACCACGCCCAGCCAGGCTCACTTAAATATCTGGGGTCTGCTAGCTCTTGGCTTATCTAGACTGGCCTTGGTGGCATGACTCGGATCTTCTCCACCTGCCTTCCATCCTCCAATAGCGTGGGTGTGCTCTCCTCAGGGCTGCAGAGAGCAAGAGGCAAAAAGGAAACACAGAGGGTCTTCCGGGCAGGGCCCAAGGCCGGTGCGCAGGCCATCCTCCTGCATTCTAGTGGCCAAAGCAAGGCACAAGCCCTGCTCAGATTCAAGGGCTGGAGAAATAGACCCTGCCACTTTAGCAGAGGAATTCAGCCCTGCATGCCCTCAAACTCTGCCAGTGTCCTTTGGCAGCTCAGCACCTCCACATAGATCCCTCTATAAAATGAAAAATATAGATCAGTGCGAGGATTCTGAGATAATCCACAGAAAGCAGGTAGCACCGAGCCTGACACATTATAATCCACTAACAAATGTCAGCTTTTATAAGATATTATCAGCCACTTAGGTCAAACGCTCAAACTTTCAACTAAAGACATTTTTTAAATAAATAAGTTCCAACATGTATACCAACATACATATATATCCCAGAGCCCCATAGCAGTGGAGGCAACCTCATAACATTCTCCTTTTGAACTCTTTGTAAACTATACACCATGGGAGCCAATCCTCAGAAATCACCGAGAAAGCTTTCATCACAAAAGCTCCCCATGCAGGAACAGCACAGGTGAGGCTGTTTGTAGGCAGCTCAAGGAACGAGGCTCGCCCAGTGCAGCACCTAACTGTGTGGACTCTGGAGGCCCAGTGCCAGGGTTCCGATTCCAGCCATGCCCTTTGCCAGCTATGTGGCCTTGGGCAAGTTACATCACCTCTCTGTGTCTTAGTTGCCTTATCTATAAAATGAGCTAATGATGGCTCCCCCTATCTCACAGAGTTGCCATGAGGATTAAATGAGTTAAGTCACCTGATGTGCTCAGAACAGGTCCTGGTATACAGTAAGCACTCCATCAATGGCAGTTATTATTACAAAAATGTTTCCCTTTATTCAGACAGAGCCTTAGTATTATCTAGGGCTGGAGGCAGGGATGCAGTGACATGATTGCTGAATGTGGGCCAGGTAGGTAGGTGCCACTGGTCTAGGGCCACACAGGGGCAGAGGTACGATCTGATATCACTTGGGGCCGGGCTCAGCTTCCCTACAGCCTCTGGCTCCGGCAGGGTGTCATGTGGTAGGGCTGTAACAAGAGATATAAAGAACAAAAGAGACTGGGTGGTGGCTCAAGCCTGTAATCCCAATGCTTTGGGAGGCTGAAGTGGGAGGATTGCTTGAGGCCAGGAGTTCGAGACCTCCCTGGGCAGCATAATGAGACCTTATCTCTACACATACCAAAATAAAGAACAAAAAGGCAGGCTAAGAGGAGGGGTCATGCCTGGGGTACGGACAGGGGGTCCTTTGGGTGGGGTAATCATGAATAAAGGAAGGGAGAGAGCCAGGTCTGGAGATATCTGGGGGAAGGTGTTCCAGGCAGCAAGAACAGTCAGTGCAAAGCCCCCAGGGCGGCCCGTACAGAGCTTGTGGGAGGAACAGCTGGGAGCCAAACCCTGTAGGACCTCAGGCTGTGAGCAGAACTTAGGTTCTTGCTCTGAGCAAGGCAGGAAGTCAGCAGGGAGTTGAGAGCAGGGATATGACATGATCTGACTGACACCTTACAGAACTGCACAAGCTCTGTGTGGAGGACAGACAGCAGAGTAAGCAGGGGACACAGGTGGGTCCAAGAAAGTGAACTAAGGTGGGAGGGGTCACTTAGACCAGGGTGAGAAGAGGCCAGATCCTGGACATCCTTTGGAGGTACAGCCAGCAGGATTTGCTGGTGGATCAGACAGGATGTGAACACTGACACTGGCGTGGTGACATGGGTCTGGAGAGCGGTGTCAAGGATGACCCCAGGGCTTTGGGTCTACACACTTGAAGCAATGAGGTGCTGCTTCTGGGAAGGGGAGACCAAAGGACACGCCAGTTGCACAGGGCTAGAGGCAGCTCCTGAAGGCTCCAGGGAGCTCCTGAGCAGGTCAGGGAAGGGTGAATGCAGGTACCATCAGCCCAGAGTGGGTCTGGAAGGCCGCAAACTGGAGGCAGCCATTCCAAGGTACTGACATGGGGAGGGCTGGAGGACCAGGTCCTGGGTCACTCCAGATGCTGGAGGTCAGGGAGAGGGATGGAGAGCCACAACCTGGCTGGGGAGGAGCAGCCAGGGAGGCAGGAAGAAAGCAAGTAAGTGAGGAGTCCCAGGGCTCATGAAGAGCAGATCCAGGAGGCAGGGAGACGGGAACAGAGCTGAGTGTTGGAAAGACGGTGGGGTGACTTTGACAAGACTACTGTGTAGAACAGGGGGGCTAGAGCCTGATAAAAGTGGGTTCAAGAAAGAACAAGGTAAAAGAAGGGGTGGCAGCAGAGCGCCAGGGTGCACACCTGTTGTCCCAGCTATGCAGGAGGAACACTTGAGCCAGGAGTTTGAGGCCAGCCTGGGCAACACAGCAAACCCTCACTTCTAAAAAATAAGTGACGGCAGGGAGGAGACCTAACACTTTTGAGGAAAACCTCCTATAAAATGGAGTAGAGAAACTAGCAGTAGCTGCTGAGTGGGTGGGAGGGAGAAGCAGCGGCCGAAGGTACTGGAGGTTTCTGGTTTTTGTTGTTGTGTGTTGTTGTTGTTGTTGTTTTTGAGACAGGGTCTTACGCTGTCTCCCAAGCTAGAGTGCAGTGGTGCAATCACGGCTCACTGCGGCCTGGAGCTCCTGGGCTCAAGTGATCCCCCACCTCAGCCTCCAGAGTAGCTGGGAACACAGGCTCACGCCACCATGCCCAGTTGATTTTTAACTTTTTTGTAGAGACAGGGCGGTCTCACTATGTTGCCCAGACTGGTCTCAAACTCCTGGGCTCAAGGGGTCCTCCTGCTTCAGGCTCCAAAACCACTGGGATTACAATCATGAGCCACCATGCCCAGCCTACAGGTATTTCTTGGGAGAGGACCATGCTTGTTTACCGTTGGGAATGGCCCAGTGGAGAAGGGAGCATGGAAAATGTGAGAGAAAGAAAGAAAACGACGAACCATAACAGAGTCAGAGGGTATGGGGTGTAACCCATGAGCCACCCCAGGGCTCCCCTTTCATTTTTGGGTCCACTCACTCCTCGAAGATCCTGTCCCTGTCCCTCCCGGGGCTCATGTTCCTCCAGTCACAGGTGGAGGTCTAGAGCACCAGCACTCTGCTTGGCCAGCATCTGCACTGAACTGGGTGTGAATATTTAGGACCTCACCCTCGAGCATCTCAATTCCTGATTTCACTTACCTAGTTGCAGGGAAGTGAGGTCCACCTTGTAGCCCCAGTATTGAGTGCAATGCATGACACATAGCAGGTGCTCAATAAATGCTGATGGAATGAATAACCATCAAGAGGTGGCCTATTCTGAAGGGTGGTCCTGCTCTGCTTTCTAAAATGTGGAGGATGGATGGTGTTGGGGACAGCACTAAGCCAGAAGGCGGGCCATTTTCCCACACAGGGTAGCACACAGTAACAGTGCTCAGAGGAGGGGCCCATCCACACCTGTCACCTGTCAGATCTACACCATGCAACAGGGAGGCTGAAACATGGTGCCACCATGTGCCTGTTGAAACATGGTGCCCACCTCATGTCTCAGGACATGAGACGATCCCCTTCCAAGGGGAAGAAGGCTCCCTCCTCCTCCCGTCCACCAGTTGTCTCACTGGGTAGAAAAAGCCATCCAATGCTGACCCAGGCAGGACCCCCAAGGAAACCCAGAGTCTCTGGACCTGTTGCCAGCACAGTGACGTCCAGCTCCATCGCCCTCCCGTTGGCCTACAGAACAGAGACTCAGCAAGAGCAAGCCCATTCTTCCCGCTGCGCTGCTCTCTCAGATGGACAGATGGACGCACTAACAGCTGCTCATGCAGACCTGTTAGGAGTAAGCGTGCATCTTCCACAGCAGCTTGTAATCTGCGGGCCTCCTGCGCATGGTTAAGAGAATACCAGGCCCGCTGTCGGTTTAACAGCATTCTCGGGCTCCTATTGCTGCAATCTCTGACTTAGCGCAAGGAGCCTGAGGAGTTCTGCTGCCCAGGTAGCCTGGTCCTGATTCTGTGATTCTTCACACAGCGCTAAAGGAGGGGCATGGAAAGACACTTTGCAGCCAATGCCCACTCGAGCATTCATTCACCCAAGGGACAGTTAGGAGCCCCTGCCAAGTGCTGGGTTCTAGGCTGAGCACTGGAGATACAGCAGAGAAGCAGTCCTGGCCCTCATGGGGCGGATGTTCCCATTGGGGGAGACCAACAGCAAATCATGATAGAGCAAGGAAATTACCCAGTTTGTCAGAAGGTGATACAAGCAGTGGGGAGCAGGGCAGGTGGTGAGCAAATGACAGGTCACAGTGTGAAGTGGAGAGGTCAGAGAAGGCTGTCCTGGAAAGGCGGGCTCTGGGCAGAGACTTGAAGGAGGTGAGGGCGTTGGCAAACAGGTATCTGGGAAAACTCCTGGCAAGGGAACAACGGCAACAAAAGCCGGAGGTGGGAGGTGCCCAGTGCGTGTGAAGGAAAGCAAAGAGACCAGTGTGGCCGGAGCAAGGTGCAGGCAGAAGGAGATGGGATCAGGAGATGCCCAGGGCCAGGCCGTGTTGGGCCGTGGGGCCACCGTAAAGACTTCGGCTTTTATCCAGGTGAGATAAGGCGTACTCACAGATTCCGAGCGGAGGAAGGAGAGGACTGGACTCAGGGGTCAGAAGGTTCCCTCTGACTTGGAGTGGTTGTGAATGTATAGTGCAAATTCAAGGGCAACTTTTTTAACTATATAAAGAAGTGACATTGATATGTGAAGGGAAGAAAAACGCATCCTCATATAAAGTGTGCAATTAAAATCAGAACCTGTTACTCTAAGTACTACTATCAGCAACAGCTATTTAGCCACAGTGCTGAGTGCCGCCTGATGCATTATGCATCATTTTACTTAACCCTGGAGATGAACCTGTGAATACGGCATCATTCTTGCTCCCATTCCACAGAAGGCAAAACAGGTTCTGTCTTGCCCAAGCCAAGCCACCGATTCACCGTGGGGTCCGGTCAGACACGAGTCCCAGCATTAAGCACAACGTGGTCTGCCTCCTACACTTTGGGCAACAGCTGTGATTTTTGCACACCATTGAGGATGAACTCAAAGGAGATGTCTAAGGAGACATAAGACATTGTCACAACACAGCAGCCTGCCCCAGACACCCAAGTCTGTCTGTCTGTCTCTCATTCTCTCTCACACACACACGCACGCACACACACACACACACACGAACACATACACAGCTTCATGGAGGAGAGACAGCGGCCTGTGTGATCCACACCTTCCCAGAGTCTCTCCTCCAAGCCACCACGTAGTGTGTTTCTGTTCTATCATTTCACGTCCACGTTTTCCCTTCCAGCTCCTGCCCCAACAGGCTGGATCCCCATGGGAGCCAACATAGGAGATGCTCACAGACCTTCCCTGAAACATCTCACAGACCCTTGGCTGGAAGATGGGGCCCCACCCAGAGCTCCGTGGTTCTCCCACTCCCAGCCCAGCCACTGAGTGCTCTCCCAGGTGACTTGTCAGAATAAAGGCACAAGACAATTATCACACTAACGAGCTTGTTTTCCTTTTTAACTAACTAGCAACGTTAGTTCTCTTTTGTGGTTTCACTGTTTAATCATGCTTGACTCTTGTTAACTTTTGTCCACTTCCTTTCTGTGCTTGTTTTCTTCTGCTGCCTTTGCCTCTCATGAAAGAACTGAAAATACAGAAAAGCTGAGGGCGGTTCACACATACACAATCCTACCACCTGCCGTTAAGGTTTTACATTTTTCCTGCATTTTTCTTTACGCACAGTTTCAGTAAGTTGATATCTCATCATATACAACACTTTCATTCTGCATTTTTTCTCCCACTTAGCATAAACACTTTCTCCTGTTATTAAAAGCTCTTTATACACATTATTTATAAAGACTACGTAATATGCCATGGCATGGAGCTTCCATAGGTTTTCTAAATCATTCTCCTCCTTTAAATCAATATCATGTGTATTGTGACCAGCAGAGCTTTGGAGTCAGCAGACTGGCTGCTTACTGCCTTGGGCAAGTGACAAGCTTTCTAAGCTTCAATTTCCATATTTGTATGGTAGGAAATTGATGTTATAATAACCTCAAAGGTTGTTGGGATGATTCGTAGTTGATACATAGGCAGCTCTTAGCGCAGTGCCAGGCACTTCTTCAGACATTCAATGGCAGCCGTAATTACTTTATCAAGGAACCATAACCCCATCACTGGAAAACTAGGCTGTTTTACATTTTTTACCATTATAAATAGCTCTGTGATGAACATCTCCATGCATAATGTTTGATCCACTTTTCCCTTTTGAGATTATTTCCTTTTGATAGATTTCCAGCAGTGGAATTATTAGGTCCAACAGTGCCTGAGTAACTCTTAAATCTCTACCATGTCTGGCTTGTTTCATCCAACTAATATTGCCAGCAGTGCAAGCACGCCTGTTCCAGCTGTCTGCTGCCTAACAAATGCAGTGGTACAGAACAAAAGCCAGTTTATTATAGTTCACAGAATCTTGCAAATGGGAATTCAGATCAGGCACAGAGGGGATGAGCTGTCTATGCTCACAGTGACGGAGACCCCAACAAAAGGGACTTCAGTGACGAGGCTGACTCTGAGGCTTGGGACTCTTTTCACCTGGAGGCTTTCTTACTCACAGGTCACCGCTAGATTTCCTGGCTGCAAGGCTGGGTTCAGCTGTCAAATGGAGTGGCTTGGGCTTCCTCACAGCATGGTGGCCGGGCTCCAGGAGGAAAGTATCTCAAAAGGGAACACTCTAAGAGAACCAAGCTGCAGGGCCTTTGGGGAGCTAGCTCTGAAAGCCGCACAGTGCCATTCCATAGGTGAGAGCAGTCACACACCAGCCCCAATTCGGGGGAGAGGACATAGACCCCATACCTCTCAGGGGCAGAATGTCAAAACTTTGTGATCGGTTTTTAAAACTGCTGCAATAGGCACTATTCACAATAGCAAAGACATGGGATCAACCTAGGTGCCCATTAGTGGTGGACTGAATAAAGAAAACATGGTACATATACACCATGGAATACTACGCAGGCATAAAAAAGAACAAAATTATGTCTTTTGCAGCAACATGGATACAGCTAGAGGCCATTATCCTAAGCAGATTAATGCAGAAACAGAAACCAAATACTGCATGTTCTCACTTACAAGTGGGAGCTACACACTGGGTACGCACGGACACAAAGATGGAAATAACAGACACTGGGGCCTATTCAAGGGAGCAGGGAGGGAAACAATGGCTGAAAACTACCTACTGGGTACTATACTTAGTACTTGGGTGGCAAGATCAATTGTACCCCAAATCTCAGCATCACACAATATACTCATGTAACAAACCTACACAAGAACCTCCTGAATCTAAATGTTGAAGTTGATATAAAAAATAAAGTCAAAAAACATTGCGGCAATACTCTTTACTAAGAATTGATTCAATAAACTAACAAAGGCGGCAGGTGCTCTTGTCCATGTGAGCAACCACATGTAAACAGGGAGTCCGACAAACTGTGCCAATGTCTCGGGAAAGACCATACCACATCCCTGGTCATCAATTTATCTCTGTATCTCCATTATGTCAATGACATGTGTTGAAAGGAGCCTGGCCCATAGCACTGAGCTCCCCAGCTACCAAAAGAATCCAACCCATGACCTTGGCTTAGGAACTCCTCACTCAATTAAATATCCATCGTTCTTGTACACCCAGCAACTATTCCCCCTTACATTTGTTAACAACGCCTCAATTTCCCTTTGAGAAACCACTCTGAGCCTATACGGTTTGGGTGGCCATGTGACCCAGACCTGCCCAATCAGCATTGTGAAAACTTCTAGCCATGGAATGAGTTCAGAGGCGGGTACATGATCTAAGGAAATCCAGTGAGATTCAGTCTTGTCATTTCTGCTGAACTGACTGAGAAAGAGAAGCCTCCTTTCCATCACCAGCTATAGGGATGACATAAATTTGGATTGTCACAGGTAACTCCTGAAGGGGTAGCCAGAGAAAGAGGCCAACTGGGAAGGAGGCAAGGAATATAGAGAGACCAAGTCCTAATGTCTTCATTTGAATCCCTGGATCTAGCCATACCTGAAGCTGTCCCTCCCACATACTACAGTTTTGTGAGCCAATCTCTTTCTTTCCAGTTTTGAGTTGAGTTTCTGTCACTTGCAAACAGAAGATTGTAGCTGCTACATTGTCTCATCATAGTCACTTTCTAGACCTTGCTTTCATGACCAAACTCAACCAATACAGTACAAAAAATTTTTAAAAAATCAAACCAAATCTTCACTGGCTGCAGGCCACCAGCTCCAAAACCAGAGACATGGAAACATTTCTCATTTGTTCCAGTTTGTAAAACCTTTCAAGCTAACACCTCCCTTCCATTCTGTCACTGCAATTTTTAAAATAAAATGGGAAATAAAGATGTTTCTAAGCAACAAATTATATACGTAATGGGGGAGGAGGAGGAGAATTAGAAGGTTTAATCTAGTTAGAAACTATTTTCATTTTTTTCTGAAGTCACTACCTGCATGAAACCTCCACAGGAGAATGAAATAAAGGTTGAGCTATTTTAATTCTTCTCTGATATGTTGATAATAAATGTACCCTAGAAATTCTTGAACAGCGATACTCAGCATAGACAAATGAGTGAGACCACTCTGATAAAGTGACTTCTGTTAAAAAAAAAAAAATCTGGCTTTGGATATTACGTTAATTTTCTGTTGCTATTTATGGATTACCACCAACTTACCAGCTTAAAACAATGCAAATTTTAACGCGGACGGCGTTTCAATTTGGGAAGATGAAAAGACGGTGCTGATGGTTGTACGACAGTGTGGATAGACTCAAGGCCAGCGAACTGTACCTCTGCAAATGGCACACATACGTGATGCATATTTCACCACAATTTTTTTTCAGAAAAGCAAATGCATCTCATGGTTCCCATAGGCCAGAAGTCCAGACACATCAGGTCTGGGTTCTCTGCTCAGATTCTTGCAAGGATGAAGTCAAGCCATGTCCTAGAGTGTGGTCTCATCTGGGGCTCAGGGTCCTCTTCCAAGATCACTCAGGTTGCTGGCAGAGTACAGCTCCTTGCGGTTGGAGGACTGACTTCCTCACATCCTTGCTGACTGTCTGCCAGGGGCTGCTCTCAGCTCTTAAGACATCAGCCACATTCCTGGTGACACCCCCTGCCTCCATCTTCGGAGCCAGCATGGAGAATCTCCCTCTAGCACTTCAGACTCCTTTAACTTCTCAGTCTCTGTCCAACAGACCTTCATCTGAAGGGCTCCAGTGATGAGGCCATGCCCATCTGGATAATCTCACTACGTTAGTTCAGGTTGCTATAACAAAGTACCACAGACTGGGGGTCCATAAACACCAAGACTTATTTCTCACAATTCTGGAAGGTTAAAAGTCTAAGATTAGGTGGCAGCTTGGCCGGGTTCTGGTGAGGGCCTTCTGGGTTGCAGATGGCCGCTTTCTCACTGTGCCGTTACATGGCAGAGGGAGAGTGGGCTAGCCTTCTGACTTCTTCTTACAAAGGCACCAGTCCCATCATAAGCGGTTCACCTTTATGATGTAATTACTCCCCAACGGCCCCACCTTCCAGTACTATCGCAATGGGGATTAGGGTTTCAACATATGAATTGGCGGGGGGGTAGGGAAGGATGACAGTGGCGTGGGGACACAATTATCCTGTCTACGACACTCTCTATCTTAAATTCAACTGTGCCATAAAACACAATCCAGTCTCAGGATCAATATTCTTCATAGTCACCATCCTGGAGATTATGCAGGGCACACGCACCTTCAATTCTGTCTACTATACATGCCTTGAACTCCAGTGATTCCAAATATAACTATACGCTCTGGAGGAGGCCTTGCACTTGTACACAAGGAGATGTACAAGGACACTCGCTGTAGCATTGTTTATCATGGCGAGAAACAGCAAGCAGCCCAAATGCCCATCAGCGGGAGGATGGATGAATACACCACGATATATTCATATACCAGAATACTATGCAGCAGTGAAGCAGCCACATAGATGAGCACAGACGAGTCCCACCAACGCTGCAAGATGAACACATTGCAAAGGGATATGTTTAGCAAGATCCCATTTATATAAAGTTTTTAAACACGCACAATGCTTCATGTAGTTTATGATTACATATAATGGATAGCAAACTTAAGAAAAATTGCTAAATTCAGGCAGTGGTAATCTCTAGGGAAAGAGAGAAGGAAGGAAATCTGGGAGGAGTCTACAGGAGCATCGATTGTAATTGTCAGGCTGTCTTTCCTCGGTTGGGTGGTGGGGGCGTGATATTCATTAAAATATTCTCTATGCTTCTTTGCATGCCTGGAATATTTCATGATTTTGAAGGTAGTAAGGTGTCATAAATCAATAAGAGCAGAAGCTCTGGAATTGCCTGCTGTTCAGAAGCTTCGGCAGTTGGGTGATTCCGATGCGTAATGAGCTACTTGAATGAATTATGGCCCATCCTCAGCCGAGATTCACGGACAGCTTTTGTTTTGTTCCAGCTCTGGATTTTAAAACATACCGACTTTGTAGGCTCTAATGAAGAAACAATCACCACTAGAAAAGCACACATAGCATATCCAGGTTTCCTCTTGCTGACATGGTATATCTTTGATTTAAGGGGGACATAAAGCATGATAGATTATAATTGGGGGATTGAAGAGCGCCCAGATATGTCAGCAGCACGACTAGGGGATAAATTGTCCAAAAGCCTCGGAAACCTTCCCAAGCTGATGATTTTTGAGGCCGCTGTAGCATTAGAAACACTGCTTCCCTCTGTCCAGAGACAGTGTGACCCGATGGTTGAGCCCATGCACCCTGGAGCCACTTGGCCTCAGAACCTTGCTTGGCCACTTATTAGCTGTGTGACCTCAGTCAAGTGGCTTGATGTCTCTCTGCCTCAGGCTCTGTCTGCAGATTGTGGCTGATGAAAATATCTTCTTATGTGTCTGCTCTGAGGAATAAACATGCTAACACATGTAACGCACCTAGACCCAGCCTAGCATGAGGCATGTGCGTGATATGTACTGCTGTTGTTATTCTCCATGTGGGTTCCATTGAGAAATAGTGTGGACCTCCAAATACAGGGGTGGATAGCATCCATGCCAGAACTAGACTTCCTGGGTTCAAATCCCAGCTGCATCACTTAAGAGTGATGCAGCCTGGAACAAATCATGTGTACTCCCTGAGCCTCAGTTTTCTCCCCTGTAGAATGGGGATGATGAACATGGCAGGCAGGTTCTTGTGCAGATTAAAGAAGTTAACACAAGGAAAGCACCAGAAGGGTGTCTTGTGCCCCTGCTTTTGAAATACCAATTCCATCTTCATTTTAGGAAGAAGAGAAAAAACATCCAGAAAGGTCAGGTTGTTTAGTGTTTGTGTGCGTTTATTATAAATATCTAAATGCTTCAGATTCATTTGGCCGAGTATGAGACTCAGGACCCACCTCAGCCAGAAAGGGGTCAGAACCCCTAGCCAGGAGTGTAAGACATACAGTGCTCAGAGCATTCCAAGTCAAGCCTGTCAGAGCTTGGACAGATTCTCTTAAGAGCAGGCAAGGTATGGTAACTGCTTAACTCCTTGCAATAAGCTTTAGGAAACTCGGCATTGCCTACCAGCCAATCCCAGGCCACAATCCCCTGCTGCCTCTGAACGGCCCCGCCTGCTCTTTGAACTTGGCCACAGCCCACTGGCCAACTGCCATCAGCGAAGAGGGGTACATTTACAAGAAAACTCCTACCATCACCCCACTGTGAGGAATACCCCTGAAACAAAAGTTCTCAGCCAGGGATGATTTTGCCCCCAGGGGACCTCTGGCAACATCTGGTTGCCATGAATCTGGGGAGTGAGTGGTGCTGGCATCTAGCGGTAAGAGTCCAGGATGCAGCTGAACATCCCACGACACACAGAACAGCCCCCTGCAACAAAAAGTTATTTGGCCCCAAATGCCAAGAAAAAAAACCTAAAAATATAATCGTAACATGGCCCTAGATGTGATGTCCAAGAATACCCACACAGCATGCCCGTAGTAGCAGAGAAGCTGGAAACAACCAAAGTAAGCAACAATATGGGACGAGTTAGAAAATAAGTGAATAAGTGACGCACCATCCCTGCTGCAAAGCGAGCAGCTCTTTCAAAGGGAAAGAGGCCGGGTGTGCTGGTTCTTGCCTGTAATCCCAGCATTTTGGAAGGCCAAGGTAGACGGATCGCCTAAAGTCAGGAGTTCAAGACCAGCCTGGCCAACATGGTGAAACCCCATCTCTACTAAAAATACAAAAAAATTAGCCAAGGGTAATGGTGGCAGGTGCCTGTAGTCCCATCTATTCAGGAGGCTGAGGCAGGAGAATCACTTGAACGCACGAAGCGGAGGTTGCAGTGAGCCGAGATCACACCACTGCACTCCTGCCTCGGCGACAGAGTGAGACCCTGTCTCAAAGATTATATATATATATATATATATGCTTGAACAAAAAGATCTAAAAGGTATAGAATAATGTGAAAAAAGCAAGTTGCCTAATAGTGTAAGTAGTATGATCTCTAGTATTTTTCAGAAGGGAGGGTATAAATAGATACATTTATTCTGCTGTGTGAATTCGTTTGTTCTGGAAGGGATTCCCTAGAACCGTAAAGTGGTTACCTTTAAGGAGAGACTATGCAGGGAGGTTCAACGTTTGCTTTGTATCGTTCTGTGGTTTGCATTTTTTGTCCTTCTACTATTATTTGCATTTTCTGTTTAAATGTCAAAACAGAAAAAAATTCATCTCTTGGAGTTAACTGGGTAGGGAGATTAAGGCCCTTTTTTTGTTTTCATCTGACTATTGATCTACATGTGCTTTAAAAGCTTGGAAATGGTACCTTTAAAAATAGTTACATAGGTGCTAGATAATGAAATAAGTTAAATGATGCGTAGTGTAGTAGACAGAATTAAATGCCTCCCTCAAAAAATGCCCACGTCCCAATTCCCAGAACTTGTGAAGATGTTACCTTACATGGTAAAAGGAACTCTGCAGATATGATTAAATTAAGGATCTTGAGGTGGGAGATGATCCTGATTGTCCAGGTGGGCACAATATCATCACCTAGGTCCTTACAAGGGGGTGGCGGAAGGTCCAAATCAGAAAAGGAGACAGGACCACAGAAGCAGAAGAGGGAGGGAGGATGGAGTCGGCGCAGGTTGGGGGAGCTAGACAGAAACAGAGAGGAGTGGAGAGGGAAACTGATTTGAAGAAGCTACCCTGCCGGCCTCAACAATGGAGGAAGGAACCATGAGCCAACAAATGCAGGCAGCCTCTAGAAGATTGAAAAAAAAAGAGGAATTCTGGCCAGAAGCAGTGGCTCACACCTGTAATCCCAGCACTTTGGGAGGCCAAGGCAGGTGGATAACCTGAGGGCAGGAGTTCAAGACCAGCCTGGCCAACATGATGAAACCTTGTCTCTACTAAAAATAAAAAATTAGCTGGGTGTAGTGTCATGCACCTGTAGTTCCAGCTACTAGGTAGGCTGGGGCAGGAGAATCGCCTGAACCTAGGGGGCAGAGGTTGCAGTGAGTCAAGATTGCGCCACTGCACTCCAGCCTGGGCAACAGAGTGAGACTTGGTCTCAAAAAAAAAAAAAAAAAAAAGGAATTATCTCTAGAGCCTCAAAAGGAACACAGCCCTGCTGACACCTTTATTTTAGCCCAGTGAAACTGACTACAGACTTCTGACCTCCCGAACTGTTACATAAAATAATTATCTCTGTTATTTTAATCCACCAAATTGGTGGTAACTTATAGTAGCAAGAAAACTAATATAGATGCAAAAGCACTTATTTTCGCACCAGAAGTTGTTCTTGCCAAATACTTCACCAGATCCTTGAAGAACCCAGGGTCAGGCTGGCATCCCATTCTCTTTATGTGGAAACTGAGGCACAGGACTATTCAATGACAGTTGCCAATGATCATTCAGCTACTTGGTATTCAGCTACTTGCTGTCAGAGCTGGCAACAGGGCTGATTTCTGTGTCAACACTCTCCCTGACACACAGAGGCAGAAGAAGGCTGTAGCCAAGAGCATGAGCTCCAGAGGCAGAATGCCTGGGTTTAAATGCTGGCTCTCCTGCTACTGGCTGTGTGATCTTGGGCAAGTGAATTAACTTCTCTGTGCTTCTCTTTTCTCACCTGCCAAACAAAGATAAAGCAATCCCTACCTCAGAAGGCTGTGGTGAGGTTGAAATGTACACGTGTAACGTACCTGGTGCTAGGGTGACCTCGATAAACATATGAGGATGATTCGAGTTAACGTGGAATTGAGCATGGCTGTTTCCCACAGCTGGTCCTCAGAAAACAGGCCCTGAGTATTTATGCTCATGCTACTCCTACCTTTGCACAGGGTGTCTAGGTGCAGCAAGCATCTTAAAACTCCCTACCAAGGATGTTCACCTTCTCCAATGTTAAGTGATGCCCCCACCACCCCAGGTTCTCCTCTGCCTCCCCAGGCCCTGCCCAATCGCTGGGAAAGGCTTTGCCCCCTGGCCACTTGGCGATGTCCCAGGCCAGGCCCGTGAGTGTGATGGGGCAGCAGCCAGACCTGGGGTCTCACTCATGTCACTGCCAGGGATCTGGGGTATGAGTAGAGGGTAGGAGACCTGGGAACAGCCCCAGGGGAACAAGGACCCCATCTGTGGGAGCCACCTGTGCCCAAGTGGCCTTACCTGGTAAACACTGGGTCTGAATCACTTTGGGAAAGAAATTTCACCATGTGCTTTGAAATCTCCACATCATACTTGAATGGTATGAATCTCCTCTCTCACTGGCTCAGTCCAGCGCTGGATGGATTCCCAGAATTCAGCAAAATAAAAGGAGGCTCCAGCTGGGAGTGCCCAGGACTACTCACTGGGGCCTAGACGCTGAGCCCCGACCACGCAGCTCTGGCTTCCTCTCTCCTTTCTCACTCTTTCCTGCGATTCCTTCAGCTCTTTCACTCTGACTCTATCCACCATTGTAGCTAACATTAGTACCAGCCAGGAAATCTTCGCCCTTCACTTTTCGGGAAATCCCTCATTCAACCTCAGTCCACATGGTTCTTAGGGAGGTTAACTTCACCCTCTGGTTCCAGAGGCCCTGGCCTGACTAATCAGCTTATTGCACCCCTGCCTTCAGCCAAAACGATTGGGTCAGGGATTGTCATGTGACACAAGTTGGTCCAATGAGATCCAATCCTGAGACTTGTTACTATCAGGAGGAAGGAGGTTTTCTTTTTCCCTCCAACCTGGGAGAATATAAACCTTTGACTGACCGTGTGGGGTATCTTAAAAACGTCAGCTCCATGCGGGCTAGGATTTGAGTGTGTTTTCTTCCTGCTATATCTCCAGTATCTAAGACACATGGTACATTGTAGATGTGCAGTTAATACAATAGAATAAAGACTTAATAAGGCTTCTTATCTCTGAAAATAAAGCCAACACAGAGCAAAGCAGGACTCAGAGATCAGGTCCAAATGACATGGTTCGTCCACCTGAATATAGCCCTGCCTGTCCATTCTCTGGACATTTTAGCTACATTGGCCAGTAAATTGCCAGATCTACTCTCACAAGTGCAAAAGGAAATGTATACACGGACATTGCAGTGTTGCTTATAACAGCAAAGAAAAAAACCCCAGAAGCCATTTGAATGTCTATCCATCAGATACTGGTTAAAGAAATTATGGTATATCCACATGATAAAATGCAACACCATCATTAAAAAGAGACAATGCTATGCAAATCGATGTGGAAGACCCTCAAAGATAGGAGGTTCAGGTTTAATAAAAGCACAGAACCGTGTGTGTGAGAAGGGAGCAGGGGGAGGAAGAGAGCTCTTTGGGGTCTAACTAGCTCGCTCTTTGGGTCTTTGTTCTGTCCATTGCTGCAGCTTTGTGCCTACAGCAGAGCCCAGCACATGCACAGTGCTCAACAAATAGTTGCTGAATGAGTGAATGAATCAAAAATATGTGATTGCTAATACATGCATAGAAAAATCTCTGCAAAGATACATATAACACTGGCTGCATCTGGGAAGGAGGTGAGGAAGGCTGGGGAACAGGTATAGGAGGGAGACTGAATTTTCAATGTATCTCGTTTGAATTTTGAGCCATAAACATCTATGTAGAAAAATGCACTAAACAAACACTAAGACAAAACATTATCTACTGTAGGAGGAAAATTCTCTTGCCTCTTCCTAGATAGTGACATCCCCCAGGAAACAGGGCTGGGAGTCAAGCCTGGTCTCTTCTAACCATCCTTGGGTGGAACTGAGTGGGGTGCTGAAGGTAAACCAAGTCAAAGCATGGAAGTTCAAGAACAAACTGTGGCTACTGACTCACTTGGAGGCTTTGGTAATTCCACTCCCCTGCCTGGGCCTTGGTTCCTTTATCTGTAAAACGAGAGGGTTGATCTCAAAGTCTGTGCTGGAAATCTAGGATTCTACGACAACAAGTGGGCACTACTCAAGCTCCTAGCATCTCTCCAGAGGAAGTGGCAGACAGACCAGCAGTCTTACTTGACTCCTTCCAGGCTCATCTCCCTTTGAGGTGGAATGCACTGGAATGCACCATCTTGGTCTGCACCAGACGAGGCGCATTACAGGACAGCTGCCAGAAGCTAGTCGGAGGCTAAATTATTGGACGGGACATCTTACCTCGCCCCCTTCCCTGGTAATTTATGCTCTGGACTTGGCCCTATCCACGCTTCATTACAGAGACTG